CAGCTTAGTTTTATTTATTGGAAAGATGGAGCCCAGCTGAACAAATAAGTCAGTAGTTGATAAGAACATGCAGATATCATTAAATGCCATTTGGTTAAATGGTAAGAGTGCAAACTGAGTAGTAATTAAGTAAGTTAATAGAATATCATCTAGCATGTCCTTTGTAGTAGGTTTCTCTGATTACAACCCGTTACAAAGACATTTGATCCTGTGACAGCTCTCTCACCTATTCCACTGTCACAATTTATTTTTTTAAATTTAAATATCTTCTTTTCAACTGCATAACTCGGTGGCATCACTGATGCATGATAAGGCGGACGTGGTTAGTGCCTTGTGAGAGAGCCTGTACAGTTCGGAGGAGCAGATGGATCACCAGTCTGGTGAGATTGATGCAGCGAGGATTGACGAGAGGTTCTGGCAAATGCTCGAGGCTCAAAGGAAAGGCAAGACAGACATTTAATCAGAATGCTGCTGCCACCATTAGTATCGGAACTCTGGTCGCTAAGGATGGGGACGGAGCGCTTATGGGAATGCCCCAAGTTCTATGATGTCGGTTCTTGAATCAACTCAACACTTTCTTCTTCTTTTCGTTCTTTTTGCAAAGTAGTTTTCAAATAAGAAGGTCATGGGCCTCTCACTATAAGATCTGCTGTGCTACACAGGTCTTCCACTGCTCTATACAATTTGGCCTCCATTTGAATACCCACTGGCCAAATCTGGGATTTTTGCTTCCCCATTTTGTTGAGCTTTTTAGTCAAATTTCTCTGGAATTCCATGTAGAAAGCATGTCTGTAGCACATGTTCAGGAATTATTTATTAAAATCTTTATTATTATTTTTTCCTGTGTGGGTTCTGGGGCCCTATTATAGGGAAAACAAGAATAGACCCACTGCCTACCCAAAAGCATCTCATAAGAGTCGACTAATTGGGAGCTTCCTTCAACGTCGGAGTGCATCTGCCTGAGAGGCAAGGAACCAACAGTCTGCACACAAATTAGTCAGATCTCTCAAACGGATGCACAAGCAACACTCAGGTTCTGGAACAGGACTGCAGTCCAGAAGTGGAATAACAACCAGAACTTTCCGCCGGAGTTTACAGCCGGTGAACGCGAAGAAGAAGAAGAAGAATTAATATTTTAAATTTAACAGTATTTTTGTCACCCTTCCTATTGTCCAGGAATAATGCTCTCTATTACAGTTTTGTTTGTTTACATTACATCAGTGTTAGTGTTGAAGAGTTTCTTTTTCACAGAATGAGGCTAAATGCGGCTTGCCAAAGAGATCACAATCTAGACTAGTCTAGTAAACTTGTCACTCTGTTTGTTGAGGTAGTTGACTTATTTAATTTGCCACCACAGCGACAACATAACACCACTATCACAGCACCTGTTGCAAATCACCACAACATCCTGTCCTGTCCGAAAGTGCAGCAGGGGAAGATCGAGGCCTGGAGTCTTGACCCATATCAGGTTCACCTTCTGAGATTGTATAGGAAGTAATGGGCTGAAAGGATCGTCGACGAGGGTCTTTCTACTAATGATCGGTAGACCCCTGCTGTGCATGCTTCCCTGTGGAGTTCTTCTTGTTATAGGAGCTAGGATTTAACTTCAGTAAAATCCCAACCTAACCTTATTTAGAATCAAACTGATGCCCTGCACTGAGTGAGGCAGACATTCTGACCCGTCAGAAACCCATTTTTCTAAAGTACTTTCTCCCCTTCATGTCGATAATAATAACAATCTTTCTTTTTAAAAAAAAATTTTCAGGTGTAAAATATAATGTGGTCAAATTATTTCACTTTCAAAGATATAATATTGTTCACATAAGTTACTTTTTGTGTTTAAATTTCCTTGTTGACAACATCACCCATCTAGGGTAAATTGGTTTATTACACACATTCTGGTACCATATGTCCAATGTGCTTCTTTCACAAAAAAGGTCCTGGTCTTTTGCTTAACTGTAAACAAATTTTTGGCCGTCTGTAGTTTTCTCTTCATAAACTATGAATTCTGTAACATTTCAAAGTCTAAATTTTCATTTCTAAGGTGTGTCAAAAATTCATGCTTAGAAACAAGACGTAAAACGAGCATTGGTACAACGAATATTTTCCTGAAGCATTCATATTTGCTGGAATCAAACAGAAAACTCACAGCAGCCAGTTTCTTGCAGAGAGTGCTCTTCCAGTCACCTTCTGGTGGCCACTCAGGGATGAAGACCCAGTCAGCTTCAGTAGCTAAAGCTCCAACCAAGGCTAAATACCTGAACAAAAGTAGCACTCAGTTAGAGGATACGCATCACTTTAACATACACCAAAGGTTCTTCACATATAATTATGTTATCAGCTGAAGCACAGAACAGTAGTAATTTAAACAACAACAGCCAGTTCACTATATTCAGTTTATAATTGGGATATATAAAGTTTTCCTGTCAAAAATTGATATTTAAAAGTAAAGGACTCTTTTCATGCTTTCAGATGTATTGGGCATATAGGGCAATACCTCAATGTTATAGACCCATCGGCCCTTAGAGTGGGATGTGGTCAATATCATGCTGGTTGCCTTTACTTCCCAGGACTTTATTTGGTATTTATTTCAGGCTGGGTCAACCTGGGAGCCAAGGTCATTTTTGAAAAAAGGTCAGGTTCCATCAGGACCTGAGCCCACGACCTTCCGATCAGGACCTGAGCCTACGACCTTCTGATCTGCAGGTGAGTGTCTAATGGATATTTATGTCTATCTGTATTGTTTATACAATACTGCACAGCTTATGTATTAATTGTTTAAGATTGTATGAGTATAGACTACGAAGTGAGGTTTGAGGTTTGAACAACAGGTCAACATCATGGCACATGGGTAGTAACCCGTAACTGTTCCGTTCTTCCAACTCAAAACTGAGCCTGAAGAATTTCAGCACAGTGCACAAGCTCTGCAGCACCGGCGGAGGATCCATAACTGAAATACTTTGGTCAGATTTTTAACTCCAAATTTTGCCCGGGCAGCATAGTTAGGCTACTCTTTTTGATTTCCAACTGCAAGAGATTTTTTACATGCACAACAATGCACATGGGTATCCCATCACACTACCCAGAGACCGGGGGGGGAGATTACTCAAGGCAGACACCATACCTTGAGACCACACAGACCCCAAATTATCAAGTGAAAAATAAAATAAGTGCACTCTCACACAATTATAGTAATTATACTGTGTAGTCAAGCTTTGCGGATATTTAAAGTGACCTAGATACCATTATTCTGTCTTAAGATGTATTAATATTTCATATGCTAACTCCTGGTCTTGTGATGCACTGTTTATTCCTTCCCTGTAGTTCTTTACAGCCATCTACTCCCAGCATATCTCCTTTTGCCATAGACTAACTGCAACAGATCAAATATTCATTTAGGGACATCCACTGGACTTCATATTTCTTTTCTACAGAACAGCTGCCTTCTGCTATAGTGAAAAAAGCCACTTCTGGTAGACAGCAGGAACCACTCAGGCAAGCATTAACTAAAGAATCTAAAAACAAAAACTGTAAAATATTTTTTTTTAATATCAATCTATCTTTCAACTGCTGTCTTCATAATGAAGATTTACTGCAATGCATCTATCTGTGTAATAGATTCCAGTTTAACTACTGGTTTTTTGTTTGTTTCATCCTGAGTGATGAGGGAGTCACTGAGGCATAATGTCTAGATGCTTCACTGCCAGCCTTAAGGTCCAGGGTTTGAAATCCCCATCAAGGCAGATTTGTAAAAATATGATTTGGCTTCCAGGTCTCTCACTCATTCATCTCTTACTCTCTCAGGCAGTCACTCTCTCCCTTGCTTATTGTTCAGTCTTCCTTTTTACTATCTATCACACAGTCGCTCTCCCACTTATTCATCTTTTACTCTCATGCAGTCACTTTCTCACTCATTTATCTTATCCTCTTTATTTTACTCTCTCACTGATTCTTCTCATTTCCTCTTATACTCCCTGCATGAGTTCTAGAGCCCCATTTTGGGGAATAAACCCACTCCCAGCTCCCCACCCCCAAATCAGGTTGTAAAGTTTAATAATTAGGGGTATCAGATATGCACTCAAAGCATGAGTTCTAGAACAAGATCAAGTGGATGAACAACCAGAACTTTCCACTAAAGTTAACAACTGGTGAATGTGAAGAAGAAGATTTCCTCCTGTACTCAGTCTCTCCCTCTCATCCAGTGACCTATTTTCTTTCTCTTTATTGAATCTAGGTACACATGCCTATAAACATACCAACAAACCACCACTAATAATAGTGCTGCCACATATTCAACTGACATTACATCATATTATTTCCCACTTACTCATCTTTTACTCTCTCATGCAGTCACTTTCTCACTCATTTATCTTACCCTCTTTATTTTACTCTCTCATTGATTCTTTCTCATTTCCTCTTATACTATCTGTATGGGTTCCAAAACCCCATTTTGGGGATAAAAAGAATAAACCCACTCCCAGCTCCCCACCCCCAAATCAGGCTGTAAAGTTTAATAAGTAGTGGTATCAGAGTCCATCTGCCTAAGAGGCAAGGAACCAACAGTCTGTTTAAAAATAAGCTAGATCTGTAAAACAGATGTGCACTCAAAGCATGAGTTCTAGAACAAGATCAAAGTCCAGAAGTGGATGAACAACCAGAACTTTCCACTTAAGTTAACAACTAGTGAATGTGTAGAAGAAGATTTCCTCCTGTACTCAGTCTCTCCCACTCATCCACTGTCTTATTTTCTCTCTTTTTATTGAATCTAGGTACACATGCCTATAAACATACTTTAACAAACCACCACTAATAATAGTGCTGCCACATATTCAACTGACATTACACCATCTCATTTCCCATTTCAACACTTCCTGAAAACCTGAGCAGATGGGAAGATATTAAGTGTCTTGATCAAGCTTGAAGCAACTGTTCCAATTATGACAACGTCTGCTAAACTCTGCAGGATCAAAGTCCAAAGTAGATATGTCTGTCAAACTTACCCACAATGTCTGCCCATGACCTCCAGAACAAATGCCCTCTGATGACTGCAAGAGAGCAACAAAATGGCATTTACTGTCACAATATTATGACATACAATTAAGTTATTTATGATGTTTTTGCTAAAGCATACAAATAGTTGCACACGTACTCTCAAAAACATGAGTCATCCTTGTATACCTGTATGAATCTGTTTCTTTTTCAGGTTCAATGGCTGCAAACTCCTGTGGGAAGTCCAGGTTGTTTGTCCACTTCTGGATTTTAGTCTTGTCCAGAATTTGAGTTTAGCGTGCACATCCATTTTACAGACCTGGCTTATCTGTGAAATGACTGTTGGTCCCTCAGCTCTCAAGCAGATGCACTCTGACTTTGCAGGAAGCAACCCTTAATTAGTAGACTTTTACCACATGCCTGTTAGAGGGGTAGTAGGTCTAATCCTTTTTGCCCCTCATAACTTATTCCCGGGAACCACATGGGGAGGTTTTGCTAAATTAATATATACCCATTTTCCTTGCTAACTGCATGAAAGTGTACAAAACAGCTGCACACGTACACTGAAAAAACGGAATCATCCTTATAAACCTGTATACGTCTGAAACATGAAAATTAACTACAGAAAGAAAGGACAATTCAAGCTATGGGTATAGATGCCGACATATCTTCGAAATAACAAAGATCAAGTTGGGCTACAGCTGCAATTGGAGCACTTTTCTGCTGGCCTGGAAACAATATATCTGAATCCCCAACAAAGAAGACTTGAAAACTGGTACATGAAAATGTTTTGTGAAGTTGAGCAGCCAAACAGCTGCTGAAGCTGAAATAAGGGGACCTCATCCACAAGTACACTTAACCAGTTGACACTATCATATATACAGATGAGTCAGTGATTCGTGGGGTGCGGTCTGGGTGGGTGAATGTAAGACAGTAAAAGAAGAAAGTCAGACATTCAGTTCAACTTTTAGTATGACAATGCAGATAGCAGATATCACAGGGCCCTTGTGAGCATGGAGACACATAGATGGCTGCTGCATCAGAGGATGAAACACGAACTGTTTGGTGTATGTGCTAGGATGTCAATACAGACAATGAGCAACAAGCAAGACGAATGAAACAGGACAAGTTAACACAGTAATACAGTAAACCATAGCTTCTTCTATATTTATCTAATTATAATGCTGAAAGGTAAAACTTTCTAGACAACAATAATTATTAACTGACCTCAGGGCAGTTGTGGCTATAGCATCTACAGCCTCAATTATCCTGTGCAGCGCAGTATCAGTACCAATAGTCATGTCAGTGCCACAGAAATCATTGTCAATAGAGCCAACAAGACCAGCAATGTTCAAATGTTTGTAGGTTTCTCGATCCTCCTTTGTAATCTTATCTGTGAATTGAAAACATGAGAGGCTGAAGAAATATGTGATGAAGATTTGAGGCTAAAGGGTTGGGAAAATATTTTGTGTTATGAGAAGTTGGTTGTAATGTCTCCTATCAACTGAGATGATATTAAGCTGTTTAAGTTTATTCGACAGATCAAAATCATGGCACACAGGTGTAACCCATTAGTGTTCCGTTTTACTTCTAACAAGTCTGAGGCTGAAGAATCTCAGCACAGTGCACGAACTCCGCTGCACCAGCGAAGATCCTGAAATACTTTGGGAAGATTTTTAACTCCAAATTTTTGCCCGGTCAGCGCTGTTAGGCTACTCTTTTCGATTTCTAACTGCCAAGGGATTTTTTAGTGTGCAAAAATGGACAGGGATATCCGATCTTACTACACAGAGACCAGAACAAATTACTAGAAGTCCACATGAAAAAATCCCAGCCTTCGCCGGGGCTTGAACTTGGGGCCTCCGGCACTCAGAGCGAACACCATATTTTGAGACCACTCCCCCCCCCCCCTTTGTGCCTACTTTTCCTGTTCCTTCTTATTATGTTTCATTATGTAGCAGCTCTACCTGTCTTTATTTTTCAACATTTTTCTCATTTATGTTTCTATGTGATCTTTCATGTAGTTAATGATTCTGCTGTCATCTCCAACGATAAGGACACAGGTTGAAATGTTCGTTTGTGAACATCTTTTCCTCTGCCTCCCTTGAGACTTCCAGTTACATTTTGTAGTGTGTTTTAATTCGTGACATTGCTAGCATAATGAGTAGTCTACAAACACAGTGATCCAGGTAAAATCCCTGGATGACAAAGGATTCTTTCCTGCCTTAGACTATAGACCCAGTCTTGTAAAATAAACACTCAAGATTTCAATGGCATGGAAAGACAGCAGAGAAGTCGCTTATTAGCTCCTCACTTAAACCATGATCTGGTAATTGTGACAATAAATCCCTTTATATCTATATGACTGCAATTGATGTTGGAAAATCTCTGTACTATAATTACACCCATTTCTGCAGAAGCATGATGTAGAAAATCGGGGCGACTGTGACAATGTTGACATTAAGATGTAGCTTCGTAGTCAGTTTGTGTCAGGTTTAATTACTTGTCTATATCTAAACTATTTTTGGGCAAACTCTTTGCTCTTAAATTCATTCATGGACCATTTATTACTACAACTAATGACAGAAAAGTCTGTCTGAGTAACAAGTAGAGATAGAATTACACATAAAGAAATTAGAAGAAGACTAGGACTAAAACAAGTCATTCAGTTCATTAAACAGCAATAGATGAGATGATCTGGCCATGTGATAAAAATGCCCCAGTACCAACTGCCATGGCAAAGAATTATAATGAACACAAAGCAAGGGGAAGACCACACAATATATAGAATGACAGCATGAATAAGTTAAGATCAACTTGTCCAACATATTAGAACAAGCACACAGAAGATTCATTCATTCCTTCCCGCCTAACACTTCAATAAGGTAAATGGAGGAAGAGGAGAAGGAGGATAAGAAAAAGAACCCCTGTCCATATCTGCAAACTTTATTTGCTACTGATGTCAATATATCCATAAAAGAGGTATGTTCCAATTCTGATGTGCCAAATTATGAATTAATACTGATCAAACCTCTCTTTACTATGCACAAGAGACATGTCCTTGTATTTTCTTCCATTTGCAGACTGACAGGATATAGCTGTCCCCCTGCTACTCAGCTGAGCACATGGCATGACACTGTGATCTGCGGGTTTCATTTGAAATGTTTTTCGACTGTGACAAACGCAGTATTGTGAACTGCATATTCAGAAAATGATGTGTTGCCTGTTGCCAATGAACTGTTGATGACTTATGTGATTAAACTTGATCGCATGTGCAAGGGATGATCTGTTTGTAATTGCTGCATTTCTAATGTCAGACTGTTTGTGTTAGCACTTTTGGTGGCTGGCTTTTGCTTTTAATGTATGTATATGCTAAATTATATGCCCAGAATGCAGTCTGTGTAAACTTTTCAACTTTCCACAATAGACTGATGGATATACTGTGTGTTTTTCGTTGGCACAGGAGTGGATCAACCATGGGATAACCTGTTATGAAGCTGAAACTAAGATTATCAAGATTACAAAGAAGCATTTTAAAAACATTAATCTGGTTAATGAGGTGTAGACTGACCATTGTCTTTACTGTGATGAAGCAAAAAAAACTATTTCAAAAACTGCATATGACAATATTGCAATGTAAATCAATGGACAATTAATGCTGTAGCCCTACATTCCATAGGAAACATCTAGATTTGATTACATTATTATGATGTGTCTGTCCTCAAAAGGGTGGCTGTCATGCTGTGTTATGACAACTATGATGCACATTCTGCCTTCACATTCAATTTCAGCAAACCTTTAATTGGTCACCTTTCATGGATGCTTGTTAATGAGCGTGAGCATATCAGAATATCAGGCCCCAGAACCTGCATAGTGAGAGATCTTAAATGATAACTTTAAAAAAAAAAACAACAGGATTTGAACTTACTAGTCTGAAGAAGCTCATCCAGAAGTTCTGACCACTCACGCCTGAAGCAATCAGCACCAGTCAAGCTACCATCTCCCCCAATGACTACAAGGTTGGTGATGCCTCGCTGAACAAGGTTATAGGCTGCCGTCAAACGACCTTTTCGCTCACGGAAATCTTTACACCTGGCACTTCCAATGATTGTTCCTCCCTAAAGCAAAAATATGAAATTGTCTTTGTTTATCCAAGCTTTGAAATTATGTTTAAAAAGTTACATATATACCTGTACAGGACGTTGTAATACCAACTCCAGCTGTAATTTTTTATTTATTTTTTTGATTGGCTTTACAAGGCAATTGGGCGTTCAGTAGTCAGCCAAACAAAAGAAAGCACATTCCTTAGTCCTAACTTTACAAACATACACACAAATTGTTGTTCTTCCCTGTCTAGTAATCTTTAGGAAACATTTTTTTTTTTAAAATTTATCCCAGCCTTAAAGAAATATCTATCGATCCTTGTTTTGCACAAAAAAAATGTAGTATATTTACTGTATATTTAACTCTTTAAATTTCTATCTTAAGCAGAAGCAATGTGGGATTTCAGTCAATGGAGTTGCATGTTCTCTAACTGGTTATCTATTTGCCAAAGCATTCATAACTCTTTTTATCCTATGGAACTCAAGATGCAATCCTAAAAAAAATATAGTACCATCTGACATGTAATAGGTTGATGACAAGCCTTGGATTTTAATTTGCCACTGAGCAGTGTCAAATTTGAATCTGCAACTTTCAATGGTTTAACTGGTTTTTCTGTGTTTTAATAACACATGGGTGGTGCGTAAGTTTATTCTGGTGCATGGTTTAAAGCCAAAAATGTAGTATTTTAAGTGCTCTACTGAGTTATACTTGTGTGCGCTTGACTGAAAACAATACGGCTGCCAAGGAATCTTCTTCACACACATCAATGTAATTTACAGCTTTAGAAGCCTGAAGTTTAATGAAAACAGCATCTTGATCAGATTTATGTAGGGTCAAATGGTGTAGCGGTCTGCCGATCCGAAGGTCATGTGTTCAAATCCGTATGGTGCCAGATATTTTAATACACGACCTGGGCCAACAGGTCAACCCAGCCTTAAATGGCTATCAGGTAAAGTCCTGGGAAGTAAAGGCATGAAGTTGATCACATTACCCAACCAAGGTCGACTGGTCTATAAAAATATGTCTAGCCTTACATGCCCAATGTGACATTGAAATGAAAAGGGACCTTTACTTTAGAAAAGCACAGTAGACATGTCTCAGTCATACACAGTCAAGCCGTGATGAGGGACTGCTCTATACTCTATCACATCCAAGTCATTCAGAGTCAAGCTGTGATGAGAGATTGCTCTATACCATTCAAGTCACACAAATTTGGCAGTCAGGTGACACAACAAGAACAAATAATTGGGAAACAGGAAATTGTTTCTGTTAGTTTTTGTGCTGTTCTTATTATTTAAAAACATTACTGCAAAATTACCGGGTCCATTCCAACAGACCATAAGTAAATTTTTTTCAACACTACTTTCATTACAATGGGTGTTTAAAAATTGTGAATAAAACAAAGGAAGGCAATCTATTTGCTTTTAATTAATGTGAATAATGTGTTAAATATATATGTCTCTAATGCATCAGTTTCAGGTACTTTTGACCGTATCAATGTAGTTACCATCCTTTATTTACCATTTTTATTAATTTGTGTGTGTGTGTGTGGTCATAAGTGTGTATGGTCGTAAGTCACATAGACCGTAACTTAAGGAGAATGTGTATAACCCTCCCAAAGGGCCTTGACCACATCTAGTTTGCTATTGTTGTATAACCTAATATTAATCTTCAACATTCCCTGATCACTTTGATGTACAAATTATGCATGTATTTACACAGCAGCTGCAGCTGTACTGTAAGTTTAATGTGTTATACTTTCAAGATGTCAAAAGGTCATAACCATCTCATGGTCATTTGAGGCTAAGCCCCCTGGTACCAAAAGAGTTAAGAAATATGGTGTCATTAGTTGCCTCAATGCATATAAAACCATTTCAGAAAGTAACACTCTCATAAGTTTTCACAGAGGCTTCCACTTTGTACTTTTACTTAGCCAACTTGCTGGTATTGAAAGGGTTAATTTTTCTCACTAAAGAATTAAGAAAAATACATGACGAGGGAAAGGTGGCGCGAGACAGTTTCTTTTAGGCAGACCAAGATGACAGCGATGTTCTGCAAAGGACATGCTACAAGAGGATGAAAGCATTAGGTCACAAGAACTGTGTTTCGTTTTAGGTATTCTGAAATATCACAGGGGCAGAGAAATAAAGACAGATGAAATAACACATGCAGAAGGGAACTAGAGAGTCAAGTTAAAAAGATCTAGAGGACATGGGGGAAGCTGCATGCGACAGCAAAGGACAGGATGACCTGGCATGAGTTAACTGAGGCCCTGTGCTCCATTGGGAG